TACATGCAAACAGTCTCCATGACAACATGCAATCGGCCTACCGCAGGGTACACTCTACTGAGACGGCCCTCCTACGTGTACATAGTGATATAGCTTCTGCATTGGATAACAAGTGCAGAGCGGTGCTTGTCATGCTGGACTTTTCAGCTGCATTTGACGTCATCGACCATGACATACCTTATAAACGTCTGGAATACTCTTATGGAGTGACTGATACCGCACTATGCTGGATACAGTCATACCTGAGTGAACGACGACAATGTGTTGCCATCGGATCTACCACCTCACATGACAAAGTACTAGATTTTGGGGTTCCTCAAGATTCGGTGTTAGGACCACGAAAATATTGTATGTACTCCAAACCGATTGGAGAGATTTGTCGTCGCCACAGCCTTCGCTATCATTGCTATGCTGATGACACACACATTTACATGGTCATAAAACCACAGGACAGTTGGAATACAGTCTCAGAAAGTCTGAAAGCTTGTCTGACAGATATCAGTATCTGGATGAACGCCAACATGCTTAAACTTAATCAGGAAAAGACGGAACTAATCGTCTTTTCCCCAAAGTGTCAGCAAACAATGGCTCTCCAGCTCAAGGTTGGTGCCAGAACTATTGAGACTGTTCCAGCTGTTAAAAACCTAGGGGTATACTTTGACAGTTCTCTGAACATGGAGAAACAAGTGAACGCTATTGCCAAATCCTGTTACTACCAGATCAGGAACATCGGCTGTATTCGGCAGTTTCTAACTGCAGATGCATGCAAGATTTTGGTGCATTCACTTGTTACCTCTCGGTTGGATTATGGTAACGCCCTGCTCTGTGGTATATCTGACAAACTAACTAGTCGTCTGCAGAGGGTTCAGAACACTGCAGCACGGCTAGTTACTCGTACTCGAAAGAGAGAGCACATCACACCTGCGCTTTATTCGTTGCACTGGTTACCTGTACGATACAGGTCGCAGTACAAAATTCTGGTATACACATACAAGGCACTGAATGGAACAGCTCCTCAGTACCTACAGGAACTTGTTACCCTGTATCAGCCGTCAAGATCACTGCGGTCGGAGTCAGAATCTTTGTTGTGTGTCCCAAAATCTCGTACTGTGACCTACGGAAACAGATGCTTTGGGAGGGTTTCGGCTACGTTGTGGAATAGCTTACCATCTGCTATTAGGAAGTCGAATACCCTGGCCAAGTTCAAGAGGGACATAAAAACTCACCTCTTCACGTCTGCATTTTAGAATCTTTGCAAAGATTGCATGTAAATACCACCCTTTTATTTGTTCAATTATGTTCACATTGCTTGTTAAATGTATGAAAGTGATTGCAAGCCTTTGTTGTTTGTTTTCACAATTATAACTATTACTATTATCCATATGTTGTAAAGCGCCTTAGAGTAATTTTACAAATTATATAGGGCGCTATATAAATGCTGTATATTATTATTATTATTATTATTATTATTATCACCGAGACGTATACCAGGAGAAGGACCGTTGGAATCACCTTGACGTATACCAGGAGAAGGATCGTTGACATCACCATGACGTATACCAAGAGAAGGACCGTTGACATCACCCTGACGTATACCAAGAGAAGGACCGTTGACATCACCTTGACGTATACCAAGAGAAGGATCGTTGACATCACCTTGACGTATACCAAGAGAAGGACCGTTGACATCACCTTGACGTTACCAAGAGAAGGACCGTTGACATCACCCTGACGTATACCAAGAGAAGGACCGTTGATATCACCTTGACGTATACCAAGAGAAGGACCGTTGACATCACCTTGACGTATACCAAGAGAAGGACCGTTGACATTACCTTGACGTATACCAGGAGAAGGACCGTTGACATCACCTTGACGTATACCAAGAGAAGGACCGTTGACATCACCTTGACGTTTACCAAGAGAAGGACCGTTGACATCACCTTGACGTATACCAGGAGAAGGACCGTTGACATCACCTTGACGTTTACCAAGAGAAGGACCGTTGACATCACCTTGACGTATACCAAGAGAAGGACTGTTGACATCACCTTGACGTATTCCAAGAGATGGACCGTTGACATCACCTTGACGTATACCAAGAGAAGGACCATTGACATCACCTTGACGTATACCAAGAGAAGGACCGTTGACATCACTTTGACGTATACCAAGAGAAGGACTGTTGACATCACCAAGACGTATACCAATACACGTGTTTGATGACCGGTCAGGATGTAAAACGCGTTACGTACCTGTACTAACATTGTATACATCTGCTAGTGTCGTAGCAAATCATTGTGCGCATTGCCTGCGTATAGAGGGTTGAACGTCCGAGGCGCCTAGCGAGGGTACGGGAGTGGGCACTCTCGTATTCTGAGAACTCATTTTAGTAAACCCCGACTTTGTATATGTTGTCTACCTTTGTAGGATACATGATATTGTTTTTTTTAGTTTTTAAGGTTTTACCAAACTTCACAATTAATATTAATTTTGTCTCGAAACCGTACCAGATAATAGGAGAAAACGGCAAGATTTACAAAAAAAAAGATCAAAAAATTAAAAATGGCACTCTGTATTGTCGCCAAACGTGACGTCATTAGAATGTGACGTAAAAAGCACGCTACACATTCCTACTCTATTCTGATTGCGCCGGTTGAAGTGGATTTTTTTTGTAAGAAATTCAATGCTATATATTTTATAAAACGAATATGTGATAACAACAACAACAACAACAAAACAGCGTTATGACAAAATATGTCTTCGTAGCAGTCTATAGAAGTAATAACTATCATTCAAAGAGGAGCTACAATGGACGCTTTAATCAAGACGACGGTTGATATTTTTTCCAAAGATACATTGTCAAAAGAAGTATTTGTAAAACTCGCTGCAATTTTGACCAAAAGTATACATTTTCCTTTTTGTAGATCATAGTATGTCTCACCTCTCTCTCAGTAGAGCCTTGGGTTTGACAACCCAAAATCATCACCCCTCGGGTTGGAGATTTCTCTGTCACGCCCTCAAGGTAGGGGAAGATTCTATTAGTCAATATGTGATTGATGGGATAATGTTTATACCGGTGATATTGATAAAGGGCTTTTTGGTTGAATTATCAAAAACATTGGGCTATAGAACGTTGGGTGAAGGTTGGATTTACAAAGAGTGTTTTGAGTGAATTTAGACAGGGGTAGGAGGGAAGGGATAGAGAAAAGAGTAAATGAATAAAATACGGATGATATGATACAGTGACAGAGGGTGGTAGAACTATTTGTATTTATGCAATGCATAAAGTAATTTATATTATCCGGTTAGTAGATGAATTTTTATTTGTTATATTTTGTTGGTTCCGGATGGAAGATAACTTTCCGTTTTTTCAACCAGTCCATCCCTATATAAGTAGTCACGTGATGTTTTGGTGTACTAAAGTCACGTGACCTGTGCAGATTTTTTTTCCATGATGACAGTTTGAAAAATCTCCTTAAAAAATCAGTTACCCCCCTCCTCCCCTAATTTGTATCCACCTTTATGTACTATCGAGTAAAAATGTAATTGTTGCACATCTTTGTTTTAAATTTTGTTTCATTTGTTGTACATCTTTTAATTACAAATGGCGTTTATTTTGAAGCAAGCCCCATCTTTTTTGGTTCTTTGTACACATTATTATAAAAATCAACACAAAGATGCATATATATGTTCGATATCAGGCATTTAGAATAAATGCTCATTTTCGACGTTCTTGATACACCTTATTATAAAAATCAACACAAAAATATATACATATGTTCGATTTCTGGCATTTAGAATAAATGCTCATTTTCGACAGAAAAAAAAAAGAATGTTCGTGATGGCTAGACTCAAGTGCCTGTGCTAGTATGAACCATTTAGTAACCTTACACTTTGTATTGAGTCTTGTCTCTGTGATCTGAGTGTAGACCTTTAAAACTGTGTTGGGACACAAGACTGATAAGGCTTACACGGATTCTTACCGGCTCCTTCCTAATAAACTGTCTGTTACTTGAAATAAAGCGCGGTATGATAAGTAACTATCTATTGTTTTCTGTTACATTGATTTCGTTCTGACAGATTGTAGCGTCATTAATATCTTGTAAATTTTTAAAATGTTAATGATAGAATGGTAAGCTACTCGTTATTTGGGAAATTCGGAATTATTAGAAAACCTTTACCATTTTGTACTCAGATGTCCATCTTTTACCTGAAAAAATATTATTAATAAAATAACTAGCATGTTAAAATTAATCCGTCTCGTGAACTCTTGCAGTACATCTGATTTATGCAAATTTGGAAAGTTTCTGCAAAACCTAAATACTGTGCTGATGATTTTAAATGTTCATGTGCTGTCTCTTGACCTCCTCCCAATACCTTCTATAGAATTATCCATGTATCTGTCAAGTGATTATAACTATCTCCATGCTGTGAAGCTCTGTTTGCTTAATGTCTCATCAATTCTCCAACAAAATAACACCCAAACATTTGTGAGTGGCGATAAATTGGCTCACTTTTTAGGAAGTGGCCGCAATATTTTATTCATATTCTGAAAAATTTGGATAAAACTTCTTTTACTAATTCTTGATCTGAGTAACACAAGATTTCGAAAAAATCAATATTTTTATTAATTTTTCTATTTTTGTTTACATATGGAAACTGCCGCCCTGGCAAGCGTGTAATTGTATTAATATTGTGTACCTATAAGTTTATGAAATGAATTGAACATTGAACATGAACACTGAACATTGTAAAGGGCGATTTTATTTATTTACTGATATCAATATGCATAAATAAATAAATATACAACATTTGATATAGCGCCCTATCTAGCTAGCATAAACCACTCTAAAGCGCTTTACAGTACATAGATATACAATTAATACAATTAGCATATATTAGTCCGGTATATATTGAACATTTAAAAGCAAGTCTGAAAGCTTTCTTTTTGCTGAGTGCACAGAGACGGTGAAATACGGTACAATTCGCACGTTCAATATAACTGGATATAAGCGGTAGATAACGCAATAATGACATACATTTTGTCTGGAGTGTTTCTGTTGTTCACGGTGTACGCGGGGTCCTGTGGGGTCAACGTCCCCGTGGTCGGCTCAAAGGAATGCCCCAATCCGTGCACCCATGAAGGGATCAAACACTGCTTCCAGTTTCCATGTGCCCCTCCGCCCTGTTCGAACCCAGTTACCACACCAGGAGAATGTTGCCCTCACTGCCCCAACATCACAGGTAAGACTATGGCATAACGTCGTGTTAAAAAGAACAGAGGGCCAATTATGGATCCCTGAGATACTCCTTTTGAAAGCAGCTCAAAGTCACTGGGATTCGGCCCCACACTTATCCGCTGAAGTTTATTGCTAAAATAACTGCAACCATATTAAAAAAAAAATTCTATCTGCCCATATGCCAACAGGTTTTTCACCAATAGTCCACGGGGGAGTTGGCAATGCAGCCTTTTTGTGATTGATTCCGGCCTCTATTAAAATTTGTCTTTTTTAATTGTATTTAGAACAAAATGATGACGACTGTACTGATTCATGTACACACGAAGGACAAAAGCTCTGTCATCCCATAACATGTCCGAGCGTGCCTTGTTTTCACCCTGTCCTCACCCCAGGGGACTGCTGTGCACATTGTGGTAAGCTGATAACAGCTTGGCTCGATTCCAAACGCCATGAAGGTAAGAATAAAAAGATTGGATGGAATTTTCTGTTCTTTGCTTTTAACTGACATAGGAACAGTATAGAAGTGTGACAGTATAAGGTATGGACTTTGCAAGTAAAAATGTTTAAATTAAGTTTTCTATTTGAAGCTGTGTTAATTTTGTTCATGTTAATGTATATTAGAAATATAAGCAATCACTTTGCAACTTTTCTACATGTACATGTCTATGTATGTATTTCACTGTGTTTTTCTAGTTTGCCTTCAAACTACTTTGTAGTTACAAATGTGCAAATAAAATGTTAAATTTGAATTTGAATTAAAAATTATTATATTAATTTAAAAATTGTAAAACTAAGTAATTTTATGATTAGAAAGTTGAGTTTCTTAGTTCTATTGCATGTTTAATTTCTGACACGGTTGAAAAAAAAAGATTTATCTCTTTCAAAATGAGCTTTTATTAGGAAAAATCAAAAATAATTTTCCTGGAATCTTATATTAGATCATAAGTGATTTTAGTTCAAATCAGCAAAACAAAATATGAGGAATTCTTAAGGTCATGTTATATTAAGTGATATACCAGTTGAGGCTGGTCAAATTTTGGGACGGAGTTCGGCCTCTGCTAAAATGTATGTTTTATTGTATACAGAAAAAAGTACAGGCCACTGTCCGAATTCTTGCTCACAGGGAGGACACCAATACTGTCACCCCATATCGTGCCCCGTTCTTACTTGTCATCACACCGTCACCTTCCCCGGGGAGTGCTGTCCTCTTTGTGGTAAGTGGGGGCAAGTTTTGTGTTACAATTGAGGGCGATATTTTGAATCTTCATTAGCATTTATTTACATTTACATTTACGGCGATAGGCAAAGGGCCGTCAAACAGCATCAACTTGCAGGTAGACTTGTGTGGCGTGGCTTCCACATAAGCTCGTTAAAAACAGGTTAAAAAGTTAAAACTATTTACAGGACCCACATTCACTCTGCAAGAAGACTGTGGAGCGAGGTCTTGAATGCCTCCACAGTCAGCTGCTCGACCTCTGATGGTAGTCCATTCCATTCCATGATGGTGTTTGGAAAGCTGCTGTATTTGTAGGTGTCGGTGTTGTATCGTATGTTGATATAGCCGTGGTTATGTTGTCTCCTTCCACTTCTGGCGTTAATACTGATATATGGTGGTATGATCAGTGCGTTGGTGTTGTGGATGCCTTTGTATAGGTTGGTTAGTCGACTTTCCTTCCGTCTCTGCTGTAGGGGTGGCCAGTGTAGCTCGCTCAACATCCCGGTTACACTACCGTAACGCGAGTAATCGCCGGTTGTGAATCGACCTGTTCGCCGCTGGACTCTTTCTATTGATTTCTGTTGGTATTTCTTATGTGGATCCCAGACTGAAGCCCCATATTCAAGGTTTGGTCGGATTAGGGTCAGGTAGGCCTTCTCTCTCACTTCCTGTTTGCATTTTCCAAGGTGGCGCCTCAGGAATGATAGTAATCCGTTGGCCTTTGTGGTAATCTGGTTGATATGTTGCTTCCAGTCCAGGTTGTTGGCTATTTCCACTCCAAGGTATGGGTTGTGCTCTACTACTTGGAGTGTACTACCATTGATGTAATAGTCGGCTCCTGTTGTTATGTTGGTTCGGGATCTCTTCATCCTCATCGTGTAACACTTCTTGGCGTTGAATTTCATCAGTCACTTGTTCGACCAGCTGGCCATTTTGGCTAAGTCATCCTGTAGCTGGTGGGTGTCTGCGACGGAGTCAATGATCCTGAATAGGAGGCAATCATCTGCGAATAGCTTGACAGCAGAGGTGATTCCTGCGCCGATATCGTTGACGTAAAGAAGGAACATCAGGGGACCCAGGACTGTCCCTTGGGGAACCCCTGACTCTACTGGGACTTCAGCTGACGATTCTCCATCGAGTACAACTCTCTGCGATCTCTTAGTAAGTCAGTGTTGTATCCATCCATGGGTTTCCTGCTGTATCACATAGTGGGACAACTTCTCCAATAGTCGTCTATGTGGTACGGTGTCGAACGCTTTAGAGAAATCCAGAATCATAACGTCGACCTGCTTCCTGTTGTCCATGGCTCTCGAGATCTCATCCACTGTTTGGAGTAGCTGCGTCTCACAAGAGTGACCTTTCCGGAAGCCGTGCTGATGCTTGACCAGGATGTTGTTTTGGTTCAGTTGGTTCATTACTCGCTGGTATATGATGTGCCGGATCATCTTGCATATCACGCTGGTAGGAGACACTGGTCTGTGGTTGCTCGGGTCAGTCTTGCTTCTTTTCTTAAAGATCGCGGTGATGTTGGCATTCCTCCAGTCGTTCGGTACATTTCCAGTGTCGTACGAGTGTTGAAATATGAGAGAAAGCGATGGTGAAATTTCTCTAGCTGCTTCCTTTAGCACTATTGTAGGGATGCAATCAGGGCCGCTCGCTTTGCTCGTATCCAGGTTCTTGAGAAGTTTTTCTATTCCTTCAGCTCTGAAGTAAATCCTGTCCATTGGTCCGTAGGGTGCTCCTTCCTCGCGTGGTACATCTCCCAGGGGTTCGCTGGTGAACACTGATTGGTAGTGGCTATTTAGAGCTGATGCCTTCTGCTTGGGTGTTGATAAACGTCCCCCGTTCTCTTTCAGGGATGGTATCCTACTTCTGTTGCTTCTCTTACTCCGGATGTACGAGTAGAACTTCGTGGGATTTTCTGAGGCGCTGGTGTTCAGGAATTTGTTGGTGTATTCACTGTGGGCTCTCTCCAACTCCCTTTTCACGGTCTTCTCCATCTCTTTAAATTTTATCCAGTCCCCTGGCTTCTTGGTTTTCTTTGCCCGTGTGTATCTTCTCTTCTTCTGGCGACATAGCTCTCTGGCTTGATCCATGGTAAGTTCCATCTAGATGTTATCCTCTTCATTGGGATGTGTTTTGCCGTGGAGGTGATAAGGGCTGTTTTGAAGTCTGACAGAGTTCTTCAGTGTTTTTCCTGGTGTTATCGCTTTGTAATAGGTTGTTGGTGTAAAGGTTCATGTCCTCTCTTATTCCGTCCATGTTAGCTTTCCTGTACACCTTTCTCTCTGGTCTTCGCTGTCCTTGGGCGTTGGTGTTGAGTTCGGCAATGATGATGTCATGGTCACTAATTCCGGGGTGTACTTCAACTTCGCCCAGTAGATCTGGGTTTGTTATGAGAATAAGATCTAGTATGTTGTTGTTTCTGGTAGGTGTATTACACATCTGGTGAAGGCAGTTGTTGTTTACGAGTTATGTGGCCTGTTTGTTGAGTGCATTGGAGTACTGTGGTCTTTTACGTATGCTGGTGTCTGTCACATTAACGTCCGGAAGGTTGAAGTCTCCAGCAACTATGATGTTTGGTAGCGATTGCCTATTTGTCAGCCTCGATAGCGATGCGTCTAGTTCTTGAAGTGGTATGGGGTCGTCGTGTGATGGACGGCGATAAAAAGAGCCAATGTACAGGGGTTGTTGATTCCATAATTGTAGTCGTACCCATGTCACTTCACAGTTGGTGTCAAGGTCCACTTCTGGTGTGGTGACCAGATCATGGAATACCGCCACAAAGACTCCCCATTCTCCCTTCTTGTTGTCCTTTCTGTAGACCTCCCAGTTGTCTGTCGGGAAAATTTCCTCACTGCTGTAGGTAGGGTCCAGCTTGGATTCATAGCCACATATAACATCTTGCTTATGTTCCTCAAGGATTTGTTCAAACAGTGCTTGCTTGTGTTTGCTCACAAGGCTGTAACAGTTTACTACCAGCAGTTTAGTTGCATTGGACCGCTCTTTGTGGCGTTTGTGTGTGTGGCTTACTACTGGTATTGTTGGATCGTCAAATACCTCCTCATCACTTATACTGGTGTCATTATCGGTAAGGTTATTAAAACTATTGTTAGACTCCATCTCCGATTCAGATGATGTGCTGCTGAGGTTGACTGATCCACACGGGGGACATGACCATGTGAACTGGGTGATGGATTGAAGTCGACCATATTCTGAAGGGGTGATGTCGCCACATCTGATGTGCACCCACTGGTCACAACTGTCTCATCTTACTGATCTGTGGTTGACCGCTACTGTTCTCTTACAAATACCACACGGATGTTTGGGTGGACCTGGGTTGGTGTCTAGGTCTCCACATAATATTAACAGTGTCCATATGCATGCTTTAAGTCTGTTGTCTTGGTGCTTTCTCTTACATGATAACAATACACAGATGCTAAGTTCGTTTGATGGAACGTTACTCACCTCATGCTCAAGGAAATGGGAGTGATTGTGCTTGCCGTTAATGTAGCATGCTTGTGAATGATCCAACAGCAGGCTTTCAGCATCCAATATAGTCTGTCTCGGTAGTTTAAACAATTGGTTGGAGCAGTAGGTAATGGTAATGATGGATCAAACAAGAAAGATGTATTCCCGCATTGTTGACATTAGGCAGGAAGTCGCTATAACCTGGTATCCTCTGCACTATAGGTGCGTTGTTTGTATTCGGGTCTCTCTGGATTTTTCATTGGCCAGTGATGGCGGGAGATTATCAAATTTTGAGGATTTTCTGTAACCCGTTATCCAAGCGGATTTTTACGTTTTGCAGGTTATATAAAGAGTCTATTTTACGCAAATAATGAACAGTTTTATCGGTTCACGCGTCGGGATCCTTTGTATGGTAAAATATTGGGAAAATGTGCGGTTCGATCGGGCCTGAAAACAAATTCGATCTTACCGGAAGCCACGTCTCATCAACCCCCCCTCCAAGTATGTATTAAGGTAGAGGAGGACCCTAGAGGCAAAACAAATTTTGTCAATATATTTTTTTAATTTCGCATATATTGTTCTTTGGGGGTCTACCTTACATAATATCAAAATATGAGAATAGGTTTCCTGGCTATTTTTAGAAATATTATTTGAAAGAGTAACCCCCCTTTGAAGTCGGAAAAATGTCATTTTTTTGCTCTTTCTTAGTCATGAAGTACCCGCCAAAAAAGGCATATATTTTTTTTTAATTTATCTGAGATCAATTCTAATAAATGAATATTTTGAAATATTTTAAACATACATTTTTTTTTTTTTTTTTTTTAAATGGCTACCCTTTTTTGCAATATGTCTGCAACTTGCTTAGGTAAAATTTCGATTGTAAAGTTGAAAAGAAAATAATTGTGTCAACGAATTCTTTTTTAAATTGGTATATAAAATAACTTATATCCATGCTTCAAATCATAAGAAAATAAAGATATGTTTCCAGGGAAAACAAAAAGTTACAATGTAGGGGGGCTAGAGCGACACCCTGTCATACACCCTTTTAAGCAGATTTCATGAAAAATGTCCGAATTTATATATCAATACAGTGTATTGAGTGTTTGGTCATGTGATACCTGTCCGTCTCTTCCTTAAATGAGCCGTAACGATGAAAAATTAAACCTAAAGGATGGAATAGTATTTTTTCAGAATGCTGGGTCGGAAAAAAACCGAAGTGTTTCAAGAGAAATAATATATAAGCTTGGGAGTGATTGTTATTAAAAACGAATCACATTTGGCTTGTTTTCACTGTGCATGAAAGTAAGAAAAAATGGGACGTCATACGAAATATTCTGTTTCCTGTCTTTTTAATGAACGTGGTTGCCATTTTTTTCAGTATCAACTGAAACAACTTCTATCGTCTAGCAAAGATAGTATTCTGTGAGATGTTGTTTTCAGGAAACGTTATAGTCGGCAAACGAGACGATCCCGATTGTCCGAACCCGTGCACACAGGGAGGACAAGCGTACTGTCACCCCATACCATGTCCCCACCAACCCTGTGATAACCCCGTAACCACCCCCGGGGAGTGCTGCCCACACTGCGGTAAGCTATGGCACGATCTGTTTTACATTTGACAGACGTTATTTTGAAATTTCTTTCGTTACACGGAACAAATGACCGAACTGATGAAAGATTAAAACTAATGAATATGTATTCAGGATATTGAGTCTGTTTCTAAATAAGCGACATTAGGTGATCATAATTTAAAAAATAAACAAATTTGTGTGTTTTTTTCCCAGAATGTGTCAGATTGCATGAAACTAAAAAAAAGGCGGCATTCATGCGGAATTTTCTATGTCCTAGACGTATCATTGATGTTGAAGAATTTACCGTTTGCTTGTAGCAATCGTTACAACTTGTGTCGTAAGGAAAATATGATTTCCTATCATGTGAGTTAGTTTTTGTTTTGCAGAAAACGTTATAGTAGGCAAACGAGACGATCCCGATTGTCCGAACCCGTGCACACAGGGAGGACAAGCGTACTGTCACCCCATACCATGTCCCCTCCCACCCTGTGATAACCCCGTAACCACCCCCGGGGAGTGCTGCCCACACTGCGGTAAGCTACGGCACTTGTCGTTCTATTACCAAGGGCTTTTGGCTAATGAAGAATGAATAATTTCAAAATATCTTGCTCTAAAGAATCAAAACAATAGTTAAAAAAGTTGGTTTATAAATAAGCGAAAAGGTAACAAATATTTTAATTCTTCTGTTACATATTCAATTTTATATAATTAAACAATACACGTTGTTTTTTTAAAATTTCTCTAATGCGCCTACTGTATAGAAAAAAATATAATTTCCTTTGACGTCGTGTAATGCAACTTTGACTTAAGTAACTTTTCCTCAATTTGTTTTTACTAATTTTAAATTCCGACCAACAAAATGAAAATTTGAACATTTAAATTCTATTGAAAATATGGTCTTTTGGGACTAATTTTGGCTTTTGCTAAAATGTATGTTTTATTGTTTTTAGAAAACAGGGTTGACGATTGTCCCCATCCATGCACTCAAGGAGGACATACGTACTGTCACCCCATACCGTGTCCCAACCCTCCCTGTGATAACCCCGTAACCACCCCCGGGGAGTGCTGTCCTCATTGTCCTAATCGTACAGGTGGGTTACAGCAATCACAGGTAGTGAAAGGGATACACCTTATGTATAGATATGCTCATGCCGATATTGTTTATCCAGGGGTTACGCTCACTTTCGCTCTGTGCAACCCTGGAATATGTCATAGCAAATTTGAAAGCACGTTACTACATTAAATAGCTAATTAGCTATTTGTTAGGTGTCAGATAAATAAACCTGACCAATCACTAGGCTGATACATGTCTTTTGAAGATTAAAGAGGAGCGACACCCGACATCAAAACCAGTAAGTTTTACCGTTACGCGACCGCGAGATTCTTTTGATGTACATCAACGGATCAAACTAGTCTTCTCGTGCCATCTCCAAGGGTGGCGAACACTGAGCATTCGATTTAACTATGATATGTTCCAGGGGTGCAGAGAGCGTAGGTGAGTGTAAACCCTGGATTATTGAGGATGGCGTAACCCCTGGATTTCGATGATGATATGAGCGTAACCCCTAGCGTATCGAGGATGGGACTTGAGGGGTATAGCGAGTTTCTGGCTCCTGATGCTAGGTCTAATTCCCGAGGCGAGGCCCGGCATCTCATTCCGCCTATTCATGGGTTATTTTTTTTATTTTTTTTTATTTTTTTTTACTTAATTTACTCATTTTCAACACAATATAGAAAAGACAATCTATGAAGGCTTAATCAAATGAAGTTTCATGAAGAATTGATTTGCTAAATTTACATAAACATAATAATGTATTTGTATAATCTAAATAAAACAGTTATGCTGTTTTGGTTCAATGACTGAGCCCTGTGACAAGCCAATGAAAATGTTACATTTTCCTGATTTCGACTTTGTCGGCATCTGACCTCTCGATGACATTTTTGCAATACATAATCAGTAAATATATGGGTCAAAATACCATCAAAAGTTTTTTAGAAAACGTTTCCAAGCTGCTATTTGCCCCGCATCGATCATCGGCTATTTTCGAAAATAAGTACCGGTACGGAAATCCTCGATGGCAGTTAGAACTCATCTCCAGATATTGCCGAGGAATTTAAAGTTTTGTGACTTACACCTGGCTAATAGAGAATGAACGTTTTGATAGCGAGGTTAAGTCAAGCGCATGATTTAGTCAATACAATAGCTAATAATGATCTATTATGAACCTTTTTTAAGGTTATAATGTGGTTATATGGACCTAATTTAGTGATATTCGCAGATATGAAGTCATACATGTAATAATTATATGATACCACATATGGACCTAAATGAAAAAAAAAAATTAGATGCCAGACCGAACGTATAGAAATTGTACGGAGGAAAATCTGAAATTGGCCCAAACATTGGGAATTCAAAATTGAAATGACTTTGTAAAATGAATATTTCCTACTGATTCTAAGATTAGTAATACCAATTCAGCATCATAAATCATCGACCTCCATGTGATTATAATTAAACCAATGATGAAATGAAAAATGGGTCGTCGGATATATTAATATATGATAGACACCGTCCTCGATACACAATGGGGTTACGCTCACCTTCGCTCTCTACACCCCTAGAATATATGTCATAGCATAATTGAAGGCACGAAGATAGCTGTTTGATTGGTCTCAGGTAAATATACCTGACCAATCGCTATGCTGATACCTTTTTTGAATATTACAGAGGAGCGATGCCCGACTTTAAAGCGAGTAAGCGTTACCGTTACGCGACCGGGAGATTCTATTGATGTATACTTCAGAGGATCAAACTAGTTTTCTTGTCTCATCCGCAAGTTGGCACACACTGGGCCTTTAATTTTGCTATGACATTTCCCAGGGATGTAGAGAATGAAAGTGAGCGTAACCCCTGTCCGAAGTCGGTGCTGACCCCTGGTGATTGCTGTCCACACTGTGAAGGTGAAGGCCAGTCGTGATCCTGTACAGGTTATATTTATAAATAGAATATGATGCAATGTTGGATAGGGATTTACGTAAAATATGTTAAATGCATTCATTTTTTTTAATTTTTTTTTGCCGAGCTATAGATTTCAAAATGGACTATTTCTATCAAATGGAATGAATGCTATTTTTAACAGTACATTAGACACTGTAAAAATATTGTTAAATACATAATATTTTTCATTTCGTTATCAGTTGTAAAGCAAGAAAAAAATCATTCTTGATGTGACTATATTCACAGGCAATTTCTTGATGTCATGTTCAGGTCAATTTCAAGTCAAATTTTCAGGCTAATTTGACATGAATTTAAAAAAAAAGAGTCAACATGAGGTCAAAAATTGATGTCAAATAACTTGAAAGGGTTGAATTGAAAGATTCTTCTGGATGTCAATTTCAAGTAAATTTCAGGTCGAATTCAAATCAATTTCAAGAAAAGTTCAGGTTGAATTCTTGTCTAATTCACTTACGCTCTCTGCGACCCTGGGGTATGTCATGGCAATACTGACGGCCCAGTGTGCAACACCTTGTGCATTTGATGTACATCAAAAGAATCTCGCGGTCGCCTAACGGTAAAAATTGACTGACTTTTAGGTCGGGTGTCTCTCCTTAGAAATGTTCAAAAGACATGTATCAGCCTGGTGAATGGTCTGGTTTGTTTTGTTTTCCCGAGACAAACCAAAAAGCTGTATCTGTGCCTTCTATTTTGCTAAGAAATATTACAGGGGTGAATAGAGCGAAAGTGAGCGTAACCCCAGGAGTACCGAGGATGTTGTCAGGTAAAATCAAAATTTTGCCTGTGTATGGAAAGAAAACATGATAATCTTACTTTTTAAACATTATGCATTATTTAGGGGTTAATAACGTGGCAAACACGAGCTGTCCTCATCCATGCGAAGTGAACGGCCATCACTTCTGTTTCCCACCTCCTTGTCCGATGCCACCATGTGCCAACCCCGTCACCCTTCCGGGTCAGTGCTGCCAAACCTGCCCAGAAGGTAATGCCTGCTTTATTGTCATTCCTATATGCAAACAAAAAATATCAACCCCAGGGTAAGCATTTTTAGGCGTGAGCCTTTGCCGAGTGCTTTAAAACCTTCAAAATCTTATCCCGAGGATTGCAATTTCTCTGTTTACATTAAACTTACATAGGAATAACTGATTATTTTTCCAACCCTTTTCATTAAATAAACAAGCTGTAATTGTAAACGCAGTGCACTGCACTTTCGTCAGGTGCACATGACTTGCACGCCAAAGCCACGAGTGACCAAGACTAAAAGCATAAAGTGACGACGCGATGGTGACATTTTAAGAATAATAGCACGTGAGCCTTTTCCCAAGGTAGGAAAAAACATGTTATCATTTTCCTAGCTGAAGTGTAAAACTGATTACGTGATTAACCATCGAATGATGGATTTGCTTAAATTGCACACTTGCATTTCAGGCGATGCGCAAAAGGATCACAAACTTGCACAGAGGTCTCGTGAGTGGCCCGACCCTTCGAAATGTTACCCACCGCCTCCCTGCCCCCCGCCTCCTCCCCCTCCCTATTGTAATGCCACTGTCATCCAGCCGTACGATCTTTGCTGCGAAGTCTGCGAAACAGGTAATAATTCCTTTGAGGTGTTGCTATTAACAACAATATCTCCTAACGCAACAAAAATGTCGTTTTACCTGCATTTTATCACATATATAGGCCTTGGTTCGAGTCTCATTGTCTCCAGAATTTTACCTTTTCATTTCATTTCAACCAGGTGGTACTTGATTAAAACGAATCAACTGGCTAGGCCTACATGTATATAAGTTATCTTCTTGTATAGGTTAAAATATGTAATGTTTGAAATGATTCGTTGAATATATAAGTAACTGGCGTAGGGCAGGTAAGTCAGCGGTATTAGAACGATATATCATTGTCAGTGGTGGAGGGGCGATAACTCAAGATGTGCCTTTTTGTCTTTTTTGTCTTTTTAACGTTACTGACATGCATTACGTGTTGCATAGCTTAAAACAGATTAACATCATGCAAACGTTACAAGATTTTGCAGAAGTCTCATGACGGTTTGATTCTCCTCTCAAATTCCATACGGACGGGTCTGAATTAGTGTAACATTACTGAGTCTAAGTCTCGATGTTTGGCATTTTCCCCGATGCTCCCGCGAAACGTCAAAGTTTGATTGTATTCAATAAAAATTATATGTTACGATGCTTTAAAATGAAAATAGAAATGAAAAAGAAAACAGAAAAAATTAGGGGTCGAACTCATAACCTTTAAATAGCAAAGCCTACTCCTTACCAACGTGGTCATCAATGAATAATTAATGCACAGCATCGAAATGATAAAGTATTAACACTAAAAGTAACATTACTAGACAGAAGAAGTTACACTAAGCCAGAGTAATCCCCTTTGTTACAGCACTGTTTCAATAGAACAGATAATGATCCAAGTAAACAAAATAAACACCCAGAAAAACCAGCAAAAAACAACACAAACCTAAAAAATAACAACAAATAAAACCTTTATTTTAACTCTTCAAGATATAACTGATAGAGTTGTAGCCTTTAGTTAAAGCCTGTCTGTATGTAATGGTACCGCCATTTCTTTTTTGAATGTCCAGTTTATACACACCAGAGGTTTGAATTGTTTCAAAATCTAAATTTTGTTAATGAAATCTCCTTAGATATATTGTTATCTGGTAATCCGGATCTGTCATCTCAACAAAATAATGATTTTTTCGTAACGTGCAAAAATGCATGAATACATGTACCATGGGGAGGTTTTAATTCGTAAGGCGTTTTATACTTCTATACTCCATTTGTGAGACTGTTCAATGTTGTTCTTTCTCTTTTTGTTTCTGTTGTTGTAATGCTACTATTATAGATATTATTTGATACCCAGTTTTAGCCCTGTTTGTAAATCTAATGTATATATTTGAGGAAAGGGCGTAACTAATGTTGTAATAACTTGTGCCCAATCCTGTTGTCAATTTTGGCAATAAAATATGTTTAAACTCAAATGGTACCGTCCGTTCTAACATGTGTGTCTTGTCCATCCTCTCTAGCCTGTCCGAATCGCTGTAAAGTGTTTGACGCGATCTGGTGCAATCCTCCGTCCTGTCCACCTCTTATCTGTCCGGACGTCACGTGGACAGAGGGCGACTGCTGTCCCCACTGCGAGGCTGAACAAGGACACCTATAGGAATGATTATCATTGCTCTGTAGTTTGCATATTAAAATTCTGCCATTCTTTGTATTTTTATTTTATTTGTATATTTTGCCCTCACCGATACTCAGAAATGGTTAAATCATTGGTTTGCCGTCACCAAACTTCTCAATAAAATTATAACATGTTTTTGTTGTCTTTACTAAAAGTTTCCGTGAAATAGTTAAATCCATGTTTCTCAGTCATAAAATGTCCGGTTGGGTTTCTGTCGTTATCAATGTACTATCTCCTTTTCTAGTTTCTCAATGGAGTTGCAACATCCGTATTCTGCCTTCATCCAACCTCCCAAAGACATCATCATATCTATAATTCATCATTCCTTCAACTTTTCAATAAATTGATCATACTGCTCATAGTTTTCTTGATTTCTAATTTCTGAACGAAGATGGTACATCTAAGTTCTGCCTTCATCCAAAGTCTAAAAGATAAATTGCCAAATCAAGTATTTTCAATCGTTCCTTCAGTGTTTTGCCAGCGAGCTTCAAAATGAAAGACCAACTATTTTTTTTTAAAAATTTTCGCATATTAAAATAGTTGCTCATTTAACTGATCGTGGTGTGAAAATGTTTGCGTTGTCAATGGTTTTGACATCTATATATACATTCTTAATACTTACATAAGTATATTTCGGGGATGAATAATAACGCGCTAATTTACCCCACGCGAAAAACGCGAATATTTTGACACCGCGAAAATTTCCATATTTACAGTATGTTTTGCGTAACATACTTTTACAACGACATTATTTACACATAAAATGCAAGCGCAGAAGAGTATAAACGATCGAAACTCATATCTGACAGCCATATATCTGATGTTTAGACAACCTGTTAGTTACCTGTCCTTGAAAGTCTCATAAATTCAGTCACATAAGAAAGCAAAACCGAAGTCGGCCAGGATATTGGTAAAGCTTGTATACGAGGTTGTAACCAACTGTTTTATAAAAAACCTTGTCACTGACCACAACAAAGATATTACACAACGCAAAGCTGCAGGTCGGGGATCGCGAAAAGAATACACGTGCTGTTACCCACGGTATGTATCGTAAGAGGCGACTAATGTGGGAAACCCTGCAGATTTGCAATATTTGGGAGACTTATATTTCTGTATGACTTATATAACTGCCTTTTATTTCCTTTCGTCTTGCTTGGCAACACCTCACTTTTGGCTTTAATGTTGAGCGTTCGCCCAGGTGAGTAGGCAGTGGTTTCTATCCCCAGGTCAAGACATACATCAAAGTCCTTAAAATGGTAGTTGTTATTTTCTGCTTAACGTTCAGCATTAAGGGTACTGACAACAACTGGTTCACCCGTTGGACGTATAATGTGACCGGGCGGAATGCTGTGCTGGGTTCCTTTGGCATAGAATTTCAGTGAGATAGCACTATAAAGTCGGCAACAGATCCGCGCTATCACCAGGAGGCAATTACACCAACTTACCCAGTCTCCGGCACACATACACACATATACGCTTACACAATACACATGGAGGCACGTCCTTAAATGACATTAGTTGTCAATAGAAAGTTCAACTAAATAAAAACAAAACAAAAACCCAACCAAATATTCAACGACCAGGAACCAAGTCCTTTTTACGATATTCTATTTCGACTTTATCGATTTTATTTATACCACAAAAAAATACTCCAAAATAATTTACAAATTCAGTTGTAACGCTGCTTGTCTTTTGGATCAGAAAACTATCCTACGTTGTCATAGGTGACCAATTGAGTTCCTCAATTTTCTGAAGGATGTGATAGTAACGGAATGATGTTGATCAACGGGTCGTTGGATTATTTCGTTTTCAATATCTGCTTTCCATTTATTCCACTTTTAAAAGCCCTGAAGAAATATAGTGCTAAGAGTGGTTTCAAAAAGTTTGGACATTGGGTTGATTTTGCAACTAGCAGTCACAGAGATAAAACGGTGATTATATGAGTTTGTGTGACTTTTTGGAATCCAATACAATCGGTTTCGAATAATTGGATAAGATGTAAATAGAGTGTCCTCGGTTATCGAGTAAGGTTTAGCATTTTAGAAAGCAGTATATCTACGTGTAGTAGCACTTGTGGTAAATGGTCGATCAAAATGTAGAGTTGTCCCCTGACACATCTTCAGCATAGGTGGGCAGATTAGTCGAATGATTAACACTCCGGCCTTCCACGCAGGTGGCGGGGTTCGATCTTCAGAGAAAATGTTTTTCTCCTGCCCATACAACTCCAACAACCCAGGTGGAGTGAGTATAAATTGGTCTGGGATGGATGTTGCGGTATCTAATTTAATTCTTTATTTATTTTACGAGGATTACAAACAGCCCGAAGGCTACTAGATGCTCTCCTCAACATATATCAAACATACAATATGTACAATTACACAAAAGACGTACAAAAGTCGCACACACTTGCACTCACACATACACACATTACA